GAACATAGTTCTCTGCATTAATGGTGCCTTTCCAGACATGCAAGCTGTCCATGCCACAAGCGCTCATGCAACCCCATACCATCAGTGATGCAGGCTTCTGAACGGAGCGTTGATAACAACTTATACTATCCTTGTCCTCTCTGGTCCGGATGACATGGCGTCCCAGTGTTCCATAAAGAACTTCAAATTGGGACTCATCTGACCACAGAACATGACCTCGTTTATCGCAGGGGGCTACATCCACCCCTCCTTAATAAGTGAAAATCCGCAAAGTAGAAATACTGTACATTACTGAGTTGAAACAACATACCACAACATTTCAGTCAACTAATAAATTTGAATCAAATAAACTAAAGCAAAGTGTATTTAGCAAGATTTTATTATTCAAGATAACTTGATAATATACATTCACTCAACATACAATTTTAAGTTGAGTGATTAGTAACGCCTTTTTACTCACCAGCTCTGCAGCTCGCTTCCTGTCCGGCTTGGTTCCGGTTCAGTTCTGGTTTGGCTGACCTACCCAGCCTTGGTCCAGTTCTGGTCCAGTTCTGATCTGATTTCTGCATCCACTGAGCGCCAAAGTTAATATGAATACTGTAAGGACCGAACTTTTTTGGATCGGATCAAAACTGTACCTCAATTTCAGTAGAAAGCAACTTTGCCTTCAGGGTAATGCAGTCCTTTGGACTGGCAATACAGTATAGGCTTATTGAGAGAAAACTACAAAATGGCTGCACTTTTTTTGTGTGTGTGTGAACAATATTACAGTATTGTACTTTGAAAAACCCAGAAAGAGCGAGTCCACAAAAGTTGAACTGGGAAATAGCAAGGGACTTCTGTATATCAATTAGCTTTTGAATGGCCATTGTTACAATTCTTTTTCTATTTGCTTTAAAATACACTACCACCATCCCATATATTTAAATCATGGATAACATTTGGTCTTTGAAATGTGTTCAGATTTACCTTGTCCTCTATAAAACAGTGCTATTCAGTTGTTTTGAACACCACTTTTTTTTTTTTTTTTTTTTTTTTTTGATAGTGAAGCGTTATTGGTTTTGATCAAGATTCTCAAGGCACAAGATAGACTTGGGATTAAATCTGGCAGGTGTTGTGTCACTGTTTTCCATGTGCAGTTCAGAGCCGAGTGTTTTCACCTCATTACAGAAAGCAATAATGCAGTGAAGTCAAAGTGCGAGAGAGAGAAAGGAAAACAAGGCAGCTTTTTATTGGATTAATTAGACGTCTTGCAAGGACCACCTGCAATAGAACAAAACACAAGTCGAGAAGAAATTCATAACTGGTGTATTTCTACCTACCCAAAAGGCTAACTTTAAACAAACCATCTTTTGCTGAGATGTAACAGATTTAAGAAATGATTAGGAAGCTTTGTTTGTGCTTTGTAAACACACTCTCAATGTTTTAATGAATCTGAATGTCCCCAATGCTTGTCTAATCACTCAATATTCAGCATTTCAATCGCAGCACATGCAACATATGGCAAATACCCACGTTGCCCCTTCAACATCAGAATGCTGTTGCCGCAACCCCCTTGTGTCATTAATGATTTGGTGTAAAAATGATTAAATTCAACATATTGTGAATGATTGATTTGTTTAATGCAATAAATTTGTTCATGAGGACCTAATGAGGTATTGCTTTGTGATACGTTGATGGGATTTGTGTCGATATTTCCCAAAATAACAAAGTAAAGTCCAACTAATAGCTTTTCGATCTTTTTGCGACCTCCGACCCATCCATCTTTGTCTTAAATGTCAAAGTAAAGTTTTATGACCAAAAAAAAAAACTTGCCTGACAACAAAATCAAGAAGCATATTTAGAATTTTTAATACATTCATTCATGCAACCTTTATTTATACAGGTTAGTCTCATAGAGCCTCGAGGACTCATTTACAAGAGAGACATGATTTTATCAAAGAGTGACGACAACAGTAGACAACGATGACAACATTAAACGATCATAAAAGAAAGCATATGAATTGGAAAAAATAAATGAAAGATAATTATATTAAAAATCGAAACAAAACAGTTACATTGTAAAGCGATGTTGGATAATAAAAACAGGAACATGTCTGCATTGCTTTTTGCCATGAACTTAGGCATTTGAAGAGAGAGGTCAAGGTCGAGACCTTCACATCTTTTTGCAAGGTATTTGAGAAACCAGGAGACACTAATCTGTATAAATAAAGGTTGACTGAAAAAAAATACATATATGTATGTAGCTATTCATGCATGCATGTATGTAAATATGTATGTATCTGTTTGTCTGTCGGTCTGACTGTCTGTTCGTCCGTCCGTCCGTCCATACATACATATATATATATATATATATATGGTCCCTGGTTCAAACCCCGGTCCAGGGGCCTTTCTGGGTGGAGTTTGCATGTTCTCTCCGTGCATGCGTGGGTTTTCTCCGGGTGCTCCGGTTTCCTCCCACTGACCAAAAACATGCGTTATGCTGATTGGTAACTCTATATTGTCCCTAGGTGTGAGTGAGAGAGTGAATGGTTATTTGTCTCGTTTGTCTCTGTGTCCCTGTGATGGACTTGCGACCCGTCCAGGGTGTGCACCGGTGTCCCCCATGACCCAAAATGGAAGAAGCGGGTAAAGATAATGGATGGATGGATGGATGTATATACAAAGTATATATATTTATGTATGTATATATATATATATGTA